GGGCCCCCTTAATCTCCCAGGGGCCCCCTGTCCCGCCTCCTCAGCGGGTGCCCAGGCCCCCAAGGTGTCTGGGCCCCTGTACGGCCCCCATTGCTGCTGTTCCATCGCCCACACCTCCCATGTGCCACTTTCAGGTTCCTCACCTGCGCTGGGTTCCATTTTGTATAGGGTGCTGGCAGTTTTAGGGGCCTCCCATTGCTGCTGCCGGGCCCCCTAACTCCCAGGGGCCCCCGTACCCCCTTTCCTCTGTTTGCTGCAGGTCCACAGTGTTATGGGCCCCTGCCCGCCCCCTTTTGCTGCTGTCCCTCCCCCACTCTGCCATGTGCCACTTTCAGGTCTTCACATGCTGTGGGTTCCATTTTGTCATAGGGTGCTGGCAGATACGGGTCCTCAATTGCTGCTGGCCAGGCCTTCAATTGCCATAGGCCCCTGTACCGCTTACGGGCCTCCCATTGCTGCGGCCAGGCCCCTAATCTGCCATGGGCCCCTGTACGGCCGCCTCCTCATGCTGCTGCCAGGTCCACAGTGTGTCATGGGTCCCTGTACGGCCTCCCATTGCTGCTGTCTCCATCGCCACACTCTGCCATGTGCCACTTTCAGGTCTCCTCACACTGCTGCTGGGTTCCATTTTGTCATAGGGTGCTGGCAGATTACGGGCCTCCCATTGCTGCTGCCAGGCCCCTAATCTGCCATGGGCCCCGTACCGCCTCCTCATGCTGCTGCCAGGTCCACAGTGTGTCATGGGTCCCTGTACCGCCTCCCATTGCTGCTGTCTCCATCGTCACACTCTGCCATGTGCCACTTTCAGGTCTCCTCACACTGCTGGTGGGTTCCATTTTGTCATAGGGTGCTGTATGGCCTCCCATTGCTGCTGCCAGGACCGTAATCTGCCATGGGCCCCCTGTACCGCCTCCTCATGCTGCTGCCAGGTCCACAGTGTCTCATGGGTCCCTGTACCGCCTCCTCATGCTGCTGCCAGGCCCGTAATCTGCCATGGGCCCCCGTACCGACTCCTCATGCTGCTGCCAGGGTTCGTAATCTGTCATGGGCCCCTGTACCGCCTCCTCATGCTGCTGCCAGGTCCAGAGTGTGTCATGGGCCCCCGTACCGACTCCTCATGCTGCTGCCAGGCCCGTAATCTGCCATGGGCCCCTGTACCGCCTCCTCATGCTGCTGCCAGGTCCAGAGTGTGTCATGGGTCCCTGTACGGCCTCCCATTGCTGCTGCTGCAGGCCCGTAATCTGCCATGGGCCCCCGTACCGACTCCTCATGCTGCTGCCAGGCCCGTAATCTGTCATGGGCCCCTGTACCGCCTCCTCATGCTGCTGCCAGGTCCACAGTGTGTCATGGGTCCCTGTACGGCCTCCCATTGCTGCTGCCAGGCCCGTAATCTGTCATGGGCCCCTGTACCGACTCCTCTGCTGCTGCCAGGCCCGTAATCTGTCTGGGCCCCTGTACCGCCTCCCATGCTGCTGCCAGGTCCAGAGTGTGTCATGGGTCCCTGTACGGCCTCCCATTGCTGCTGTCTCCATCGCCACACTCTGCCATGTGCCACTTTCAGATCTCCTCACACTGCTGGTGGTTCCATTTTGTCATAGGGTGCTGTATGGCCTCCCATTGCTGCTGACTCCACCGCCACACTGTGGCTCCACACTCTGGTTTTGGCCCCGTGACTGCCCAAATGAGTGAAGTGTGCGGTGATTCTAAGATCGACGGCACTCATCTGCATGTCATACTGACTGACAGTATTATTTCTCTTCCCCAGCAGACTCCAAGGGCATTTAAATTAAAGGTACAGTGTTCTGCACTAATATAAAGGCTCTCTGAAGCCTAGAAACAACACCCTTTTATAAGTTAAATTCGCAGCGAATATATTCGACTCGAATCAAATTTTTTCCACGAATTCGCCGAATCAGTCGAATCGAATTTTTGAATAATTCGCTCATCTCTAATGACAGTCATGCAGACCAATTTGATGCAGTGTGTGGAGTATGGTCTGAGCACTGACAGGCTGACCCCCCACCCCTTCAACCTCTGCAGAAATGCTGGCAGCACTCATACATCTATTTCCCAAAGACAACCTCTGGATATGATGCTGAGCACGTTCTCAACTCAAACTTGTTTGGCCGACCATGGCGAGGCCTCTTCTGAGTGGAACCTGTTCTGTTAAACCGCTGTTTGGTCTTGGCCACCGAACTGCAGCTCAGTTTCAGGGTCTTGGCAATCTTCTTATAGCCTAGGCCATCTTTACGTAGAGCAAAAATCATTTTTTTCATATAAATTAAATCAGAAGTGGTGTCGCGCTCCACTACCAATTTCAAAAAAGTGTGAATAAATAAAAATAAATAACAGTCCAGCTTCAAAAGAGTGCATAACGTTATCTCTGCAATTATATTACTGCTGCAAACATGTCGTTATTAAATCCGTGACCTTGACACTTCTTCCAGTGCTGTGATACAAAATAATAACTGTGCAGTTCACCAATCATAAAAAATGTTATACACCTTGAACAGTTGTGCTCTCACCTGGTGTATATGACCAGACCGTTAAGTGAGGTCATAAAAGGCTTGTGTTCATTTAATGGGGCTAAGTGGTGATTGGATGGGATGATCCCTCTTTCCCTGGGATGGATGGATGGACAGAGTGTTCCCTCTTTCTAGCAGGGGGTCTCCTTGCTTCCTTATGGATTTTCCTGGAGCCGGATAGATGGACGGGAATATCCCTCTTCCCACTTCTTTAGGAAATTTTCTCCAGGTATAATGGCCATAGAAAGTAATACAAAATATAGTGCCTTATCCTCTTTAAAACATAATTTATTAAATATAGTAGTGCACTCACATGTATTACAAGTTAAAACAGCATTGAAATGTTGAAATTTTAATCCACAGTAAAGTTTTCCAATATTGTTAAATACTTGCTGTATGTTGCTTTAAGCGTTGTGACGTCACAGCCCCTCCCCTACGCGTTACACCACCAAGTCACATGGCTTCATCATGGTGAATTGATTGGACGACACGACGCCCATTGATTTATATAGAGAACGCTGATCACTCACACCAAGGATCCTAATTTTACACCCTCACCTTCACTGCGATTGGCTTGTAACACCCACATTTGATCAATTATCTAAATTAAAACCTTTGGGTGTGCAAGCATGTAAAGAGCTCAATAATGCTACCTATTACTGGCTAAATACTAATGCTAAGTTATATGCCTATTTACAATATCATGTGTGTGTTTTTTTAAAACGTAATGACTATAATCTCAATAATTAAATTAAAACTTTTATAAAACAAAAACTCTTGTGTACCTCTATAAATAACTAAATATAATATAGAGTTATAAATATATATATATTTTTTTTTTTTTTAAACTTGAATTAGTGTTATTACAAGCACGATGTACGTATTAAGGATGTACGTATTAAGGAAGGGGTATTCCGCCTAGGGGCTGAGATAATATTAATCTAAATGAACATCTGAACCCATAAAATTTCATTTTTATTTTCTATGACGCAATGGTATGAGTATGTGTAGAGTGTAAGCGAACCACTAATTTTCACATATTTCTTTACACAAATTTTATAACTTCATTTTCATTATTGTATTGATTCTACCACACAGCATTGGTAATATTTAAATATTTTTGCATACACCATAGTAGCTCACAAGACCCCACACTTCAGTATCTATATAATTCTTTTTTCAGATCCTCAGAGTGTTCTTTGCCATGAGGTACCATGTTGAACTTTCATTGACCAGTATGAGAGAGTGAGAGCAATAACACCAAATGTAACACACCTGCTCCCCATTCACACCTGAGACCTTGTTACACTAACGAGTCACATGGCACCAGGGAGGGAAAATGGCTAATTGGGCCCAATTTGGACATTTTCATTTAGGGGTGTACTCACTGTTGTTGCCAGCGGTTTAGACATTAATGTCTGTGTGTTGAGTTATTTTGAGGGGACAGCAAGTTTGCACTGTTATACAAGCTGTACACTCACTACTTTACATTGTAGCAAAGTGTCATTTCTTCAGTGTTGTCACATGAAAAGATATAATAAAATATTTACAAAAATGGGAGGGGTGTACTCACTTCCGTGAGATACTGTACATAGTACATCCAAAGATTGAAGGATTAAAGGATAAGTTCACTTTTTAACAAAAATAACAAATTCACTTTTTTCTGCAGGTAAAAAAATGTGTTTTTATTATTTATTGTTTGTGGAGCATCACAGTAGTTCATTGAGAACTACAAGCTGACAGCCGCAAAGGCTGTAGGAACTTGTAGTTTTCCCATTCACTGAATACTGTGAATGAGTGATGCGGCCAGGAGGGCTGGGTCCCACACGGCCACGTTTCTTTAAAATTGTGACAGCTAGCGGGGAGAAGACCCCCTGCTAGCTATCACAACAGTGATCGAGGAGGGTGCAGGGGCTGGTCTGATTATAACATGTTACACCCTGAATATGGGTGTGACATGTTATGAAAGGTGAACTCATCCTTTAAGCACACCAGCTTGTGCCCATTTTCAGATTGTGAAATGACAGATTAGCTGTCCAACCACTTTCACAATGCGGTCCCCCACCCTGTGCCAGGATTGCCCAATGCGTAGTGTCCAGGCTCTTCTGCTTTTACCGGAGCACATTACTTGCTTCAAGAAGCGGAGAGAGAGGCGAAAGAGGAACATACATTCCCCAAGCTTCTCTGCACTGAATGAAGCTGGAAGTGGTTTTTGAGTTGTTATTCCCTGGCTGATACAGCCAGAGAGTCAGCTAACCGAACAAATCTGTGTTCACAATTAACTCTAAACAGATGGGCTGTAATAGCTTTTAAAGCATCGCCTATGGAGATTTGTAGTTTAGTTTTTCACGCTATAACAGGTGCACACAGTTTTAAGACTTGACCTGTTTAGTATCTATTTACTCGACACAACCTCATGTTTTATATTTTACAAAAAAAAAAATGGCTGCTATATTGACTGTTTGCAATATAATGAATGTTATTATATTTTTTCTGAAAATATGCGTTTGATCATCAGTCCTGTAAATATCGTGCAACATAAACAATTGCAACCAATATGTTTTTATTCAACAAAGCCTCTGCTTTCAGAAAAGATATAATATTTTGAATGTTTTAAGTAATTTTATAGCCAAAAATGCAGATTTTGACATGTGTGCAAAAAATTAAAAGTTGATATAGTGTCAAAGTTGTTAAAGTCTAGGTTCACCTAAAACAAATAAAAAATCATCACAAAGGACATTACTTACCTTCAGTGGTACCATGTCATTGTTTAGCAGAAATCTTCCTCCTTTGATGCCACCCACCCCTCCCCCCCCAACCACAATCGTCCGGTCCAGCAGGAGTTAAGAAAACTTATCTAGAGAGCCCAACTATGCTCCCCTTTTCTCCCAGTTGCTCCATTCATACAGGTATATAAGATGAAAGGGGAGGGGAATTGCTAATCTCCTGGAGTTGTACAGTTCTACATGTTGTTGTCTTTTCACTGAGACTGCCGATGCAGGGACAGTTCTTCCTTTCAGTGACACCACTGACACAAGGACATTAGTGAGTAATATAATACCCCCATATCAGTTGTAATTAGGAGGAAAAATGTCCCGGTCTAAGTGGTAAATGGAAAAATGCTATGGTGTCTACAGTTTTCAGGTGGGAAAATGGTGCAGTCATTGCTGAAAGAGGGTGAAAGATTATTTCCCAATCGTTAGTGTCAGTAGAGAAACTCTTGTGCCTCAATCATATATGCTAGTGGGGGATACAATGTGCCCCAATCATTGGTGTCAGTGGGGGACACTTGTGCCCCAATCATTGCTGTTATTGGTGGATACTTACGCCTTAAAACCAACCTTCTTCCCCCTTCAAATACACATTCCACTGTTACCTTCTACTAAGAATGCGGTTCCAAAATCATCCACATTTTTTCAACATATATGTTATTTTTTTACCTTTTCCTCTGTCACACAAGAAAGGAAAAAAAACCCACTAAGGCGCATTCACAAGATTTCGTGCACACTTCATCGGTGCGCCAGCAAAGGGAAACTGGAAAAAGAATCCAGCCATTGATTATGTAAATTTTAAAAATGGTGGCATGGGAGCAGGATGCAAAAGGATGAGAAATAGGAGAAATCAGGAAGAGTGCATGATAAAGAGGATAGTGGGAGATGTAAGTTTATTACATTGCAGTTTGATAAAGTGTAGGGAGGATGCTCCCCTTTAATCAGATACTTGTGCCCCACTCATTGGTGTCAGTGAGGGATACTTTTGCCCTAGTGGGTGCAAGAATGTCCAAACAATTCTTACTTTTTGAGCAGTTTTTCCATTTCTAAAAATAGATAAAATCTACATACAGCGGAAAAGCAATGGTGACATACCATACACTGTGTTTGTGGCATGGTCTACATTTTAAAAGAATTGCAATACAGAAACTATAACCACATACTCATACTTAAAAGTGTCTGCTAGTATTTCTCAGTTCTTCCTTGTATGAACCTTTCTCACTTACGAAAGAGAATCAAAAGAGTGAAGACGAAAAATGGCACACAGGTGACAGCTCTACATCTTTCTTACTAAGCTATTGGGCTGTGCAGTAGTTTATTTATAACACATGTACTTTGTATACAGTGGGGTTGATTGACTAGGCTAGGTTCACACTAGCCTATTTTCTGAAAAGCTTCCATTCAGGTGGTGATCCTGCAGCTTCCTGAGTTCCTGTTGTTTTGTTTAGTTTTTTTTGTTGAAAGGAGATTTGCTATGGGATTCATGTGCTACAGATAGGAGCCTAGCTTTTGGATTGCAG